AGACCCCCCTAGACCCCATCAGACCCCCCTAGACCCCACCAGACCCCATCAGACCCAACAAACCCCCCCCAGATAAAAGCCGGGCCCAGGTTCTGACTCTAGATGGACCAATACCTTTACCTGGGTCACGGTTTTAAGTCAGAGGTAACTTTTGTGGGGGGTTTTTCTTTTAGTTCCGAGTGGAAAAAGCACCATCACGCCTTCAGGGCCGAGCTGAGTCATCCCCCAGAATCCATCCAACAAACAAACAAACCCAGAAGCCTGAGTCAGGTTCCCATCAATCATTCAGAACCAGATTTCACATTTCAGGCTTCATCTCACTCCCAGAAACAGGGGAAAAGTGGGCAAAAAGTGACATCCCACCAAACCAGGAAACCGCACACACACACACACACACACACACAACGTCCCAACGCGCAGTCCGCGCGCACACAATTACTCCTCAGCCCAGAGGAAAAAAAGAAAATAAAACATCTGTGCAAATCTGGAGCAGCAGGGAGAGACTCTGCAGGCTGGACGCTTCCGTTTTTTTTCTGCGTCAGAGTCGCTCCGGTGGATTTTAAAAAAACCTGGAAACGTTTCCTCACAAACAAACAAACAAACAAACGACGACACACACACAAATAAAAAAAACAACACAACAGGTCAGTGAGAGGAGCTTCGGAGAGGCTCCACCACTCCCTTCACGTGATGCCGAACAGGCGGATTAGATCAGCCAATCCCAAATCGGATTATTTCAGAAAAAGTGACGCAAAACAAAACCCCAAAACACACACACAAAAATAAAAAGGTGGAACTCACCCAGGACCAGGCAGGCGACGTCCAGCAGGACGAAGGGGATCCCTCTGGCCTCGAACATGTTTGCCCGCTGCGCGTGTCAGCCCAGATCTGGCGGCGCGCGCGCTGCTGCGCGTAACGAGCCTCGCGGGGGACGCTCCTCCTCGCGACGTGGGTCCGTCCCGACTCAGTCCCAAACAAACGGAGTGGGGAGGAAAAAGGGAGTGGGGTGGGGGTGTGGGGGGGGTAATAACAATAAAAGACGACGACGCCCCTAATAGGAAGCCAGAGAGCCCACCCGGCCTCTGGGGACACGCGCAACTGAACGCGGGCGGTGGGTCTTCTCGCGTGGCGTGGATCGGCACCGCCCACGTGGGGCGGGATCAGCTGCCCGGAAGCAGCTGAGGAATTAAAAACAAAAACAAATAAACAAACAAACAAAAAGCCCGGAACGCGCAGCTGAAACGCTCAAAATACGACGCAGATACAGGCCCCCGCGATGCGTTCAGGGGCCGAAAGGGAGTGTCGGAATTACCAGGTTTTGCGGTGCATTCAAGCAGTGGCGACGCAGTGGGGAAAAACGCGTGTT